GTCTTCCTTCACACCCCAGCAACGCAGCATGCACCACCACCTGTGTGGTGAGAGGGCTGGCCCAGCCCTCAGCGTTGTGCAGCAAGACCAGTGAACCACGTTTCGTTCCATGTGAGGTGACTGAGGAGCAGTGAACGTGACAGGCCCCACCAATTGGACGCTCGCCATTCCGTCCTCCCTCCCCCCTCTCTCTCTCTTTCCACCGCCAGCATCACCAGCACAAGCACCATTGGTTCCGTTCCGTTCCAGCATTGCTCGTGGCTCGTCACTGACCTCGGTTTGTTGTTCAGTGGCTTGGCTTGGCTTGGCTTGGCTTGGGGTGCGGAAGCGGGGAGCGCACGCACACAAGAACAGAGGCCAACAGAGGAAAAACATCTTTCCAGCCCCTTGCAGTCAATTCTGCATATTTGGGCAGCGTTCGCAATGATTTGTCAAAGTTGCACTTTTGGACCAGCCACTCCGCACTCTCAGCACATTCAAGGACCTGGGTGCTGACGGACGGATGGACAGACGAACGGCTGTGGAGGATGAATGACAGGAAACTTGCTTCCGACGCGACCTACCACGCCCTGTGCACGGTACGACTGAATGCGAACCAGCCCTGATTTACACGTTGTCGCTGCGACGTGTGTGTGCGTGTGTCTGTGTGTCTGTGTGTGTGTGTGTGTGTGTGTGTGCCTGTCGGTCCATGTCTGTGTGTGTGTACTTGCGGTTCCTCAATGCTGCTGTGGATTCCATAGTTTTGGTGGCGGTGGTTCCTCAGACATTGTGTGCCTGTTTCGAGCACACATGCACGCTCTCCTTTGGTTGCCACTTCTCACTTTCTTTCTTTCTTTCTATTTCACACCACACTCGTACTCGCATCACACAAACATGCACACACAGAGCAATTTGCGGGCTCGTGTACGTGTGGTGTGAGACATCCCCCGACATCCTGCTCAATTTGCGCTTCCCCCCACCACCACCACCAGCATCCATGGCGATGATGCGTGTGATGCGTGCTGTCCCATCTGGTGCACTTGTGGCGGCCCTGCACATGCACATCGCCATTCCCGCCAATGTCATTTGACCAATGACTGGATGTGCTGTTTGTCAGCTCTTCTCTTTTGCTGTGACACTTTTCCCGTCCTTCCTCATCGTTCTTTCAACGTTGCCCGCCTTCCTGCCGATAACTTGCTGTCCACACGCGCAGGGGCGTAAGCACGCCCATGTGTACACGTGTTCGTATGCACGTGTTCGTCCTTCCTTCTTCTCGTCTCCTCGTTCTTCTTCCTTCCTTCTTCCTTCTTTCGTCCCCAGCCCCAACCGTTAACGCCTCATTCAGCCGCCAAATTCAAATTTGTCATGTCTGTCTCTTGCACTACTGTCACTTCTCTCTCCCCCTCTCCTGCCCTCCTCTCCCCCTGTCCTCAACTTGACTATTCTCCTTCACTCGCCCCCACGTCTCTTCTGACTCTCTTTGTGCTTGCAAGCCAGCGCCGCAGCCGTTGTTTGTGTTGTCGAAATATTATTATTATGTGTTGTTGTCGTTGTCTGCGGCTGCTTGGGTATGGCTGGCGTGCTATATTGCTGTATTACTTCTTCCTCCCCATCGCAACGGTCATTTTCTTCTCTTGTCGCACATCCACACATCTGCCACCGCTCTCTCGCACCTGCTGGCACGTTCACCCCTTCCCATCTCCACCAAGAAGCGAGCAAACCAAGCATGTCTTGCACCGTTGACGGTGTGTTGCCATCTGTGCATGCGCTTGCTAGCGTGTGTGCATCGTTGCATGCGCGCTTGCATTTGTGCGTGTGTGTGCTGTACATTTGCACCCTTTCCTCTCTTCCTTCATTCACACACACACACAAACTTGCTTGCTTGCTTGCGATCGCAATCTCGCTTTGTTGTGCCCATCATATCCATCCTCGCCACCCACCATCATCATCACAACGGCCATACCCACACCATCACCACCTGCACCTGCACCAGAGCTCTCCTCCTCCTTCCCCGTCGACCTGACGGTGAGCACGGGTGTCAGCATTGCCCCGCGCAGCGACAAGCCAGCCAAAGGAGTACATGCACGCACCCAGGACCGCCAGCAAGGTGGGGCTGTTTTCGTGTGTGTGTGTGTGTGTGTGTGTGTGTGTGTGTGAGGATATGAGTGTGTGAGTGAGGATATGAGAGTGTGGATGTGTATGATGCACTGCACTTCGCACTGCATCTGCACATACACACAGACGCACTCACACACACATGCTGGGCACTCATGTATGCATGTATTCATGTGCGCGATCGCTTATTCAACATCTCATTCCGCTTTCGTCTTCTCGCTGTTGCATGCATGCATGCACGCATGTATCCATTCCACACCCCCTCCCTCAATTACTCTCCCCCCTCCTCTTGTGCTGCTTCGCATGAATGCATGCCTGCAGGCCCCTGGCACAACGTGCTTCGTTTGCCCAGGCGCCGCCGCCGCCGCCCCTCGCTCCCGGCCACCGAGTCCAGCCCCGCTGCTGCCCGTGGTGGTGGCCGCCGCTCCCGCCGCGTCACAGACACGGATCTCCTTGCCGTGACCCGTCGTGACGAGGAAACGGGTGCACCTGCTCCTGCTGGCCCCCGCCCGCGCCGTCGTCGCAGCTCGGCGATTGTGCGGCGCGTGAGCAGCGCCCTGCGCATTGTCGGCTCTGCCGTGCGCGCCATTGTTCGCCGTAACCGCGCCCCAAGCACCAACAACAGCGACGATGGTGATGCCAATCGCCTGCACGAGGTGTGGAACCGGCGCGAGATTGACGGCCACGAGTACACGGGCGGCATGGTGGTGGTTGGGGGAGGCACGCGCGCGCCACCCAACACGCCCGTCACGCCACGGCGCGGGGAGCCGCCCATGCTGCCGTCCACGCGGTGCAACTGCCGGTCCTGCGCCGCGGTCATGGAGCTGATGCGCCTGCGCGAGCTGCAGGAGCTGAAGAGGGACGATGAGTGAGTCATTGAGAGGGGGGGGGGGTGTAGCGATGATTGCGGAAGAGGTGGTGGAGGGATCACTCCAGTGTTCCAGCTCCAGGTTGACCAGCGCAGCTGCATGTCTTGCATGTTCTGTTTGCTTGCTTGCTTGTGTGCTCACTTGCCTTTTGTTGGTTGCACCTTGGTGTGCTCTTTTTCAAGTCTGCACAGCGTTTGCTTTGCCGTGCTTCCCCTCCCTCCTCTTCGCTGTGACTGCCTTCTTCTCTCTCTCTCTGCGTTCTGCGTTCTTGCTGTGATGTGTGCGATGTGTGTTATACACGATTCCCTGCTTGTGCTCTGCACACTCCTACTCACAACGCCTCACGCGCCTCTTGCGTTTTCCATCCCATACACACGCCCCTGTCTTCGCACTGATGCCCTTCCTTCCATAAACAGTTCCATCGCTACCCACATCTTCCTGTGAGCGAGGCATCCACACCACACCCTCGTCACCTCGGTCAACTGTCTCCCTCTCCTGGTATTCCTTCCCCCTTGCTTGAAGCCATGCTCCTCGAAACAAAGCCAGCACGTCATCCAGCGCATCGCCTGCTTCGCCGCATTTCGGTCCATCGAGCATGCGCTCCTGCCAAATCCTCCTCGCAGCCTCGTTGCTGTTCGTTTATTCGTCATTCTTCTTCGTGCCCCAATCAACCGCCTTCTTGCTTGCTTGCTTCTTGCTTGCTTGATCCTCTTCCCCGTTGTGAGATTGCATCACCAACGAAATCTTCCCAGCAATTTCGCTGACAGAAAGCCAGTGCGCAGCAGTGGCTTGTTTGTTGAGGGTTGACGTTGCAAGCGAGGTGTTGTTGATGGGGAGTAGGCTGTGTGTTGTTTGAGATTGGAAAGGCAAACATTGACAGCACGTTGCTTCTGCACTGTTTCAGTGCGTTCCCTCGCCAGCTCGCACTTGCCATTCATTCGAAGGGCTTGCATTACCTTTCTGTTGTGTTCTGGTTTCTGGTTACTTCTTCATGTTGCTGGATGTCACATCATATCAAGGCGTTGCGGGTGTTGCTTCTGCATCAAACATCGACAACAACCACCACCATGTTGCTTCGGCACCACCCACGGAACAAGAGGAAGAAGTCCGCGCAGTGTCGCCGGTTGAAGTGAAGCCGATCGTGGCAGGTGGTTCATTTTCTCATCGACCCACCAAGTGAAGCCAAGCCAAGCCAAGCCAAGCCAACCAGTCTCAAGCCAGTAAGTACCCTCAGGCACTCAAGTCTCTCAAGCCGCCACCACCGCCAAGATGAGCCTTTCCCTGTACCGCGATCCCTTCTTCGACAGCTGGGACATGTTCCCTTTCCGTGGCGAGGAGCAGAAGCGCTTCAACATGCTCGGCTCCTGCGACATTGTGGAGAGCAAGGACGCCCACATCTTCACCATGGACACGCCCGGCATGTCCAAGGACGACGTCAAGATTGAGGTGGAGAACGACGTCCTCACCGTCTCCGGCGAGCGCAAGAGCAAGCACGAGGAGAAGGACGACAAGGTGCACCGCGTGGAGCGCCACTACGGCTCCTTCAAGCGCAGCTTCGGCCTCCCGGAGGGCGTCGACGCCAGCAAGGTCAAGGCCAAGTTCGACAACGGCCAGCTGCGCATCGAGGTGCCCAAGCCACCCCAGAGCGCCAAGAAGGCCAAGACCCAGGTCGCCATCTCCAACTAAGGCTCAATTCTGCCACCGCCGATGAAGAAATCCGGCACTGTTGTTATTTGGCTGCGAGGCAGCTTGCCTGCATGCACGCACGTTCGTTCGTTCGAGCGCGTCTGTTTTCCGCGTGTCCAGTGAGCTACTGAGGTTCGCACGCGCGTCTGTTACCTTGCCTCTCCTTCACGTCTAGACGTCTGAAGAGCATCCTCTTCCCTTGACCCTGAGGACAATATGTACTCCTGTAACTGTGCTTGTTCTTCTCCTCCACTGATGTGTGCGTGTGAGTGTTCCTGCCTGTTCTTTCCCTTGTCGTTGTCGTGGTTTCGATCGCTCGTCTAACGGCAAGGGCCGAAGGACAATGTCATTAAACGTCCAACTACATGAAGCTTGATGTAAACAAGGAAGAAAGCAGCACAAGGAAAGCACATACCTCTCAAGCACACACACAGCGAATAAATACAAAAGGAAGAATAGCGTACGCACACACACACACACACATTATGTCGCTATGTGGGACGTCTCTGTGACATCGCTGGATGGCACAAACGTGCGTTGAAGGCAGCGCTGATGGTAGATGAACATCATGTTCGCCAGTGTCACGCTCAGCGTGGTTCGCACTTTGTTGCGGCGGAACCACATGTACCGCTGCAGCAGCGAGTTTGCCCTCCGTGGCGAGAGGCGTCGCCTTCGTGCTTGCCGCTCCTCTTGTCGCAGTTGACGCACACGCGGCGATGGCACCGCGGGCTCGGAGCGCGGGCGGGGCGCGCGTGGTGGTGAAGACGACGGTGATGACGATGACCCTGGCGCATTTGCAAGCGCAGCCGCAACCTCCTCCTTCCCACTCCCTCCTTCGTACTCTCCCTCATCGACCATCGCTGCACCGCCAGTGAATCGCGTGCCGCCCCGACCGCTCGCATCGGCACGGGAAATGGTTTGCTGCGGCTGCGACCGAGGCATACGCTGCCGGGCCGGTGACATGGGCACCCGCGCATCAGTGACGTGACCCTCTTGTTGAATGCGAGCGTCTGTCACCTGCAGCTGATGCGTAAGTGCGTGCGCAACACGGTCAAGCCGGTCCTCCGTTGGCGAAGCATGGGTGCGCGCATGCGCGCCTGTGCTGTCGACCGTGTCAACCCCACCAGTCTGGGAGATGGTGGCAGTTAGACCAGTGTTATGCACAGCAGGACCGTGGCGAGGAGAGGTGGGTACAAGCTTTCCGCGACGCCGCTGTACTGGCTTGTCTGAAGAAGGAACAAGAACAGAAGCGGTGCTGGCATCAGAGGCAGCAACGCCATTTGTCGTGTCGCCTCCATTGCCTTGCTGCTGCCCACGCCTTGACCCATGCTGTGGCGAGTCCTGTTGTCGTCGTGGATACTGCTGTGTGCTGTTTCCATGCCCTGTTTCGGGATTTCGCTGCCGAGCCTGCTGGACACCGTGCTCTGATTCAGCCTCTCTTCCCCCGCTCCTCTCCTCTTTGCTCCTCTCCTCTGTTCGCCATCTCCGCGGCCACGCACGCGCAGACGTCGTGTCGTGCGGTCCCATAATCTCGGTCAACGCGCGCGAAAACGATTCCTGCAGCAGTTTCCGGGCGGATTCCTCCGTTGACACGGCATGCACACCACCACCACCACCACCACCACCACTACGCGCTCGATACTGTGGGGGATCGTAGCCGCCACTCCAGCCGCCAAAGCCATTGGCAGCCGTGCCACCCACGCGAGAAACGTCTCCAGCGCTTGCAGTGATGCCTTCCTGCCGTTGACCAGGGCCGTGTTGCCATGTGCTTGCTACTCCACTGCCACCCAAGGCTGGTGCTGCCGTGGGTGCGTCCTTCGTTGTTGCTGCTGCTGCTGTTGATGCTGCTGCTGTTGTCGGCGGGCCCCAGGCAGCGCGCGTGCTCGTCAGCTGAATGAGCTGGCCCAGTACATCAGCAGCACCACCATCGCCATCGCCACCACCATCATCATCATCATCCATGTCATTGCCGTCATTGCTGTGGATGATAGCAGTGGTGGCAGCAGCGCCGGCTCTGGGTTGAGCATGAAGATGACCAGTTGCGTGGCCACCAACACGATGCTGTGGTTGCCCTGCATGTGGGACGGATCCTGTGAAATACTGTTGCCCCTGGGACCGCTGTCTCAGTTGTTGTTGCTGGTATTGTCGGTGCTGCTCTTGCATTTGGTCACTGCCGAGGAAACTGGACGGGTCCGCCACATTGCTGCGCGTTTCGTCATCGCCATCGGAATCAGCGTCCGCCTCGTGAATGATGTCATCTGGGTGAAGCGCGCGGGGAACCTCAACATGATGGCCCGACAGTTGCTGCCGTTGTTGTTGTTGTTGTTGCTGGTGTTGGTGTGGGTGTGGGTGTGGGTGTGGCTGTGGCTGTGGGTGTGGTTGGCTTGGCCTCTCATGGACTTGATGGTGTGGCAGACGCCGACGTGGTGGACTTGGGGCCATCGTCACAATGACAACATCCTTCTGTTGTTGTTTAAGTTGTTGTTTAAGTTGTTGTTGTTGTTGTTGTTGTTGTTTAAGTTGTTGTTGTTGTTTAAGTTGTTGTTGTTGTTGTTGTTGTTGTTGTTGTTGTTGCGATGTGGACGGTGTTGCCGAGAGTCCCTCCAGCGCCTGCAGCAGTTTCTCAACATGGTCATGCGACACTGGTTCGTGTATCGCCGCCACGTCTTCATCAAGCCGACCACGACCATCATCATCAGCCATCGACACCAGGTGCTGATGTCGTCGGTGCTGCGCGCTCAGCATGATGCCTGTTCCCTCAATGCTGCTGCTCCCGCTCAAACCAGAGCTGGTCATGATGGGAACAGATGATGCGGTTGTGGCCGCTGTTGTACGGGACGCGGTCGTTGCAGTCGTCGTGGTCGTCACATCCTCTGCTGCCGTGGTTTGTACAGAATCATTGTTCCGGGTTTTGCCAGCGTGAGAAACGCTAGTGGCGTGTGCGTCCACCGCACTGGCTTTTTCCATCGGAAACGCGGGCGATGGCGCTGCCGTGTCGTCGACCATCCTGTGGACGTCCCGTGAATGCACGACTCCACGCTCCACGCTGGAGCGCTCATCTGAACTCATCGCCAGCTCACGGCCATCATCTTCGTCGCCATGACTGCCACTGCCACCACCACCACCACCACGTCCTCCTCCATGGCCATCGCCAACCCTGTCACCGTCATCGTCATCGGTGCTGTCTGTGTACGCGGAACCAAACCTCGCTACCGACTCGTGTCCACTGCTGCACACCTCTCCCGTGAGTGGCGCCATGGTGTTGCCGTTGATCTCTTCGGCAACACCGGTTCCAGCACTTTCGTCGGTGTGAATTCGAAGCGCCCCATCTTGCCGTCGACTGTGCTGGCTTGTGTGTGGGCTGTGTTGGGTGGCCGTCGCAGTGGCTGCAAGGCCGGCCGTCACCCACTGTTCGTCTTCGAACTCTTGGCTCCGCTCAGCACTTGTACCTCTGCTGCCTTCTCTGTGATTGCCGCCCTGCGTGTGCTGCTCACCGACTGCATCGTCCTCGTCTGCCACCAGTTCACACCGCACCGCATCACCGGTCTCACCGCCTGTCACCGCCCCCTGCCAATTGCCAACACCATCGAAATCATTGGCGTCGGCACCGCCTTCGTCTTCTCCATCGTGATGATTGCCATCACCCAGCACCACGCCAGCAGCAGCCGTCCATTCTTCTTCTTGAGGCGCAACTCCCACAGTGCCCGCGCGATCCTCATCCCTATTGCCGTCGTCACCACCACGAACGTGCCCAGATTCAACATCTTCCTCACGAGAAGCAGCAGCAGCAGAAGCAGTGGAAGCAGCGGACGCAACAATACTGGCATCAGCGCCAGTATGGGCAGTAACGGCAGCAACAGTACCAGCCGCCACGGGGACGAGGTGAGCGCTCGACTGCTGGCCCTCAACGGCCGCCATGCGCGACGTGTCTGTTGCCCTCAAAGCAGCACCGTCAGCGCCAGCACCACTGGCAGTCACGGTGGGCGATGCCATGGCGTCAGTGTACAGCTGCCGAAACTGTGATGTGTCCAGGAAGCTGAGATTGCTGGCAACGCTGCCAGGCGTGTCAAGGGAAACATCCATCAGCTGGCTCGCGCCCTGGGTAAGCGCCGTGACGAGATCGGCGCCAAATGCCCCGCGAGTGATGTTGTCATCATCATGCACCGGCAACGACACATCCGTTTGCTGCTTCAGCTGTTGTGGCGGTTGGTCGCTGATTTCGGCTTTGTCTCCTTGCTGCTGTTGTTCTTGTTCTCCCAAGTACATGAAGTGGTCGTGGGTATCGCCACCGCCATCACTGCCGCTATCGTGCTGCCGCCGCATGTGTACGAGGTGACCGTCAATGGCGTCCGCAAAGGCAACAGCGCGCTGACGCGTGCACTGTGCAAATGCTTCTCGCCACCGCTGCCACGCAATGCGCCTCACTCGCGCAGCGGCAACTGTTGCTGCCTGTCTCTGCCGCACCGCCGCCATGTACGCGCGGGTTTGCATGTCGGCCAACACGGAGCGCATGAGGGTGCGGTGGTGGTAGTGCTCGGCGTCAAGCAGCTCGTGCAAGCGCGCCTGCCACAGTCGCCACGCCACCTGCATCTGCTGCAGATGGCGGAACTGCTCCGAGAGGCGTTTCATCACGCACAGTCGCCGCCACCGAACGATGTTGCTTGCAAGCAAAGTGTTTGAGTGGTGAGCGACAGCCACGCTGTGCATATCTCTGCGCACAGCGAGGTGCCGTCGCAGGGCCGCCATTGCCCGCCGCTTGAGTCGCTGCTGTGCATGGCGCACAAACGTGTTGCGCAGCGAGTACAGGCGTGCTGTGCGCGCAGATGTGATGGGCGGGATGGCGTTGCGACGCTCCTCCAGTTCCCGCTCGCGCTGAATGATGCGGTGGTGGCGGTGGGCGCGCCACGTCAGCAGCAGTCGGAGCTTTGTTCGCTGCGTGCGTTGTTGCTGGAATGACACGAACACGGCCTCAAGTCCACGCTGCACGTGCTGCGAATGCTCCGCCCACTCCTTCAGGGCAGACAACACCTTCACCTTGAGCGTGAGCTGGTGGTGGATGTCAGCGGCCTCCAGCACGGCTAGGTGCTGTGCTGTGAGTGCGCGCCAGAATCGCCACGGCCCCAGCAGCGATGTGTTGAAGCGGTGTGTATCAGCAATCGCGTTCATCCATTTGAGTCGCAGCGCTGTCCGCCAGCTCAACAGTGCTCGGTGCTGCACGTGCTGAGAGCGGTGCGCGTGTGCGCGGCGATTACGGACACGCACAGCTCCTCGCCAATGCTCAATGCACTGTCTTTGAAAGTAGCGCGCACGCATTCCGTCTGCCCGTGCTGCTGCTTCGGTGGCGGCGGATTGGCGGTGGCGATACGCACCTGCATGGTGGTGGTGATGATGTTTGATGATGGGTGTGCGTGGGTGGGTGTTGGTGGAAGAGACAAAATGAAACCACGTGTATTGGTGTGCGTGTGTGTGCGTGCGTGTGTGTGTGTGCGTGCATATATGTGTGTTTGGGTGTGTTTGGAGTACAGGGCTTGCTTGACACATGGAGCAAACGGCCAAGCACGGTGTTCAGTGACAGCAACTCACGTGACCACTGCCTCCATCCGCGCGTGGTGATGGTTAGCACGTGCCGCTGCACTGCCTGCTTCTGCTTGCGATACTTCCCCTGTGTGCGTGTGCGCCAACGATTCAGCCACTTGCGCGTATCAAACTCCACTGCCATGATCATGAGCTGACAGCGCTCTAAATAGTGCGATGCCCACGTATTGAGTGCACGCCTCAGCACCGTCTCAGACCGTTGCTGCTGCAGGCGGGCTGCTCGAACACACAACTGCTTTCGCTGGAGAAATGCGGCGCGCATGTGTGTAAAGATTGCGCGTACGCGCCGTTGGTGTCGTGTGTCGATGAGTTGACGCTGCAGGCTCAGCAGCCGCCACCTGAAGCCAAAGTAGGGTTGGAGTGCGACGGTGAGGAAGGCGTCAGTTCGTGGTGACACTAGCAAGCACGCATCTCACATGGTTTCGTGCTGTCCGTGACACATCGCAGTCACGCCCAAAGCAACGCACAAGCAAGGAAAAAAAAAACTCCGGTGATGCAGAAAACAACGACAAAACCGGTTCCGCAAGAACACACGTACACACACACACACACACACACGCACAGACACACACATACTCACACATACACTCACACGCACAGGCACAGATGCAGATGCAGACGCACACATACACTCACACGCACAGGCACAGATGCAGATGCAGACGCACACAAGCAGGCAGGCAGGTGTGCCCACCTCGTCAAGGTGGAGTGGAGCTTGTAGCGTTGAAGCGCAAGTGCCGCTGCTTGTGCTTCTCGCTGTTCTGTGACACGGCTGGCGTAGGCATGTTGCATCATGCTCCAGGCGAACTTCCGCAACTTGAACGCATGCACGCGATCCGCGAGGCGCTCATCCCGCCCTGCAGCGGCAGCACGACGCCACCACAGCAGCACCTGTACAGAGCACAAGCAGAGCGGCGGGGAGAGGTGGTTGCAGAGGAATGAGGGAGCTCGAAGGAGGAGGTGGGGTAGTGGGGCGCAGTTGGGGGGGGGGGTGAGACATCAAGCATGACGATGGTTGTGCGCATGGAGCATGGCCACCATTCAAGCCAAACCAAGGAAGCGGACACCACAACACGACATTCACCTTCCTCACACACACACACATACACACACATACACACACACACACACACATAAACACACACACACACACACAAACACGCATAAACATACACACATACACACATGCACACACACACGCATAAACATACACACGTACACGCATACACATACAAGCATACACACACACATAACCTACAGAATGAAACGAACCTGTGCCTTGTGGACGCGCTGCGTTGCGAGGGTGAAGGCGCGTGCGAGGCGAAGTTGGTGCAGTCGTTTGCGCCACGTGTCGAGGGCGACGCGGCGCTGGTGATTCTCGTGTGTGTGTCGGGCAAACCGATGCAGCGCAACAGCTGCACTCCACACGACCCACACACGCGCCAGGTGACGCTGGTGGGCACGTCGCTGCCACACTGCCAGCAGCTGCGACAACAGCGTCGACCGATGCTGCTGCTGCCTGCGTGCAAGCAAGATGTCGAGCATGCGTCGGCCAACCCTTGTGCGCAGTCTCTGCTCTGCCCACATGACGGCGGTGTCGTGCAGGGTGCGGCGCCACGTCACCCGTCGCCGCCAGTGCTGCAGGGCGGCACGAGCAACACCGTCATCGTGCTGCTGCCGGAACTCCCGTGCAGTTCGCTCGCAGACGCGTGTCGTGAACAGCGTGCGCCAGTGTCGCCACACCAGCGTGGCCGTGTGTGTGATCACCATCATTCGAACCGCCTTCTCACGCACAGCCTGGCTCTGCAGCCATGCCAGCGCATCCCCCCTCACGTCTTCGCGTGCGCGCGCCAGCAGCGACCGCCCCAGATGTGCCCACAAGCTGCGACGCTGCTGCCGCTGTGCTGTTCGCCTTCGCCACACACGCAGGGCACTGCCTAACGTATGCTGTTGGTTGACCGCGTCTGCTCGCTGCTGAGCGTGCACGCGTGCGTGCGTGCTGCTACAGACGGCCCTCATCCTTGCCAGTGCAGTGCGAAGCGTGCGGTGCCTGCGCGTGCGATGAAGAGCACAAGCTTGCGCATTGCATCGCCAGCGCTGTAAGTGCCGCTGCAACGCCTGGCGCCGCTGCTGCTGCTGGAAGTGGAGCACTCGCGAGCGCACCTGCCGCTGCCGCCGTCTGGTTTGCCGCCGCCATCGCCGCAACACGTGCGTGCCAGCGAGGCGACGTGCTTGCATCATATCACGTGTGTGCGATCGCCACAGCAGCAAAGACCGGCGCTGCAGCACTGTTGACGCGTGCGCATCCGCCTTGTGAACCGCTCTTCGCGTCTGGAGCACGCGGCGCCAGTGAGACAGGGCGGCGCGCTGCGTGCGTGAGCGTGTGAGTGTGGATTGCGTGTGCGCGGCGTTCACGAGTGGGAGGCGCTGCCGCCACCGCTGGAAGAAGAGGTACAGCTTCACTGCGTTTGTCTGGCGGTTGAGGGCACGCTTTTGCACCAACCGGGCACGCCACACGCGCCAAGTGCGCAAGAGAAGGAAGGAGCGCTGGCGGCGGTGCCAGCTGGACGCCTTTGCACGGAGCAGTACCATGTGCTGCGTGTGGTCTCGAACAGCACGCGCGCGTTCGCGCCAGCGACGAAGGTGGTGGGTGAGGGCGTGCCGACGTGCAAACTGCGATGCGCGATGGTCGTCGACAGCCTTCATGTGCCAGGAGCGCCGCCAGGCCGTGAGGAAGGAGCGCTGTGTGCGGATGATGTCGTGGCGAACGGCAGTGAGGTGGTGCAGGCGCAGGAGGTGGTGCGTGACCTGTCGCGCCGCTGTCGATTGCTGCCACTTGACGAACGCGCGACGCAGCACGTGCAAGTGGTGCCACTGCTCGGCCTTGTGCAAGACAGCGCGCAGGCGGGCTGCTTGTGTGCGCTGTGAGCGCTGCATCTGCGTCGCCTGTGATAGCAGGCGGTGAATGTCTTCCTCTGTCACCAGGCGAAGCTGCTGCTCCGCTTGTTGTTGTTGTTGTTGTTGTTGTTGTTGTTGTTGTTGTTGTTGTTGTTGTTGTTGTTGTTGTTGTTGTTGTTGTTGTTGTTGTTGTTGTTGTTGTTGTTGTTGTTGTTGTTCGTCTTCTCGTTCATATTGCACTGGTACCCTGTGGTAAGCGCCAGCATCGCTGACATCGCCGACATCCCAAGTGTGCGAGAGCGGCTCGATACCACTTACACGGGCCTCCCCGGGTGTTGTGAGACCCGCTGACGAGGCTGATGCTGTGGCGGGCGAGGTTTGCGCGAGTACAGATGTCATCTGGGACTTGAGCCGGGCGTAGGTTGCGTCGACCTGCGAGTACCGGACAGCAAGCGATGCTCCAGTGGTGCGTGGTTTTCGCTCCTGCGCCATGCTGTGGCTGCCTTTGAGTGTCCACTGGTCGTGGTGGTCCTTGGTGTAACTTGCGTGAAGTGAAGAATGGGTTGTGAGCGTGACTGCCTTCCCACCATCATGCCCTTGGTGCTCGCGCGGTGGGCTAGCGTCACGCCAGAAAGTAGGCTGTGTGTCGTCACGTAACGTTGACGAGAACGCACCACCACCTGGCTGCTGTGCGTGGGCCTGCCAATGTCGGGAGCCCACCGGGAATGGCCGATGCAGGCGGTGGGTATGGCTGCTTAGGCCGCTGGGGTCGCTGGAGGCGTCGTGTTGTAGCGATTGTGAGGGCGCCGTGGTGTCTTGGGCTGTTGCTGTGCTGGCGCGCAGGTCATTGAGAGTGAGGCCAGGGGGTTGGTGGTGTTGGTGGTTCATCTCTGTGTCGAGCGTTAAGCGGTCATCAGCCCCCGATGGTGCCGACCAACCGTGGCGCAGCCTCGACGCCACGGACGACACAGAAGACGACAGGTGTTGCCGCTGTCGTTGTGGCTGGGGTTGTTGCTGGTGGTGGTCGTGCTGTTCGTACGCGACCATTCGCGGGTCGCGTGCCTCTTGGGATGCTGTTGACGACTGTGGCAGGGAGGCTGTGAGCGTTTGCGCCGACGTGTGGGTGTAGCCATGCTGCCGCAGCCACTGCCCAGCAGGCGACATGTCATCCCGGACACCAGACGTGTGTTCGCGGTGCTTGTGTTGTCCATGCTGCTGTGAGCGTGTGCTTGATGCGCGGCTGCTGCTGAGCAAAGCACGACCGTGACCACCGCTTAACCTCCTTCGAGTGGTGTTGCTGCTGCTGGCGCGGCTACTGCCGCTGTTACTGCTGTTGTTGTCATCGTGGTTGTGCGGGTCTGTGGTGGAGATGGATGCCACAGACCGTAGCAGCGAGTCCACCAGTGTCCTCACCGCGGTCACCTCGTCCTCCATCGTCGTTGTTGTGTTTTGTGTGTGTGCGAAAAAGAGAAGACAAGCAAGAAGGAGGGACTTTTGAATTCGCACACAACAACAAACAACCGTTACAACCAGCTGCTGCGATGGCGTGGAGGCAGCAGCGCAACAGCTTCCTCGACGAGGATGCAGGTGTGTGGATGAATGTACTTGTGTGCTTGTGTGCATGTGCCGAGCCATACTCGTATCTGTCACACACTCACACTTACACTCACGCGCGCGCGCACACACACACACATGCACAAACATACACAAACACGACACGAACACACATGTGGCAGATGAGTTGGCAGCGTACTTGACGCAGGCAACGGCAAAAAAGTCGAGTGACAGCCATGGCCCACAAGCAGCGCAGCGAAAACCCAATGTGTTTGCACGCACCCGCACGGCGGCGCCTCGTGGCAGAGCGCGACAGGGACCGCCATCACAGGCAGTGAGGGCGACAATGACGACAACATCAGCAACAGCAGCAACAACAACAACTACGAGCGGTGATGGATCTTCCTTGCCTTCCTCTTCTCGCTGGCTCAAGAGGCAGGCACAGCAGCAGCAGCAGCAGCAGCAGCAGCAGCAGCAGCAGCAACAACAACAACCACAACAACGACAGCGTCAGGCATCCGCGTTCAGCAACGTGCCGTCTCATCGCGCGTCTTCCATCTCTGACATGGACCGTAACCTTCCCCGACAAGGCGCGGCAACGTTGCGCTTTGGTGGCCGTCCAGACCACGGGTCACCCCGCAGCAGCATTGACACCAACTCTTTCCTGTCAGACTCTGCTGATGCCTGTGAGTATGCTCGAGCGTTGGCGTGGGATCGGTTGGAACGTGTTGCCGGGTGGCTGCGGTTGTTGTGCTGCTGTCATATGTTGCCTGTCTGTCACTGCATGCTTGCAGTGTCATGGTGTCCAACTCTCTTTTCGTAGAGGCCTCTTGTCGTTGCGCTATGAGGCGACAAGAACAGCACACACACACTTACACACATATACACGCGTACGCATACATGCGCACATACACACACTGTTGTGTGTTTGGGTTGATTGATGACTGACGCAGACGACTCAGATCCCCACTATGAGCGGAACATTGTCGCATATGGGTCGCTGGGACGCCAAGATTCCCCCATGGCAGAGCACGTGCGAAGCGTGAGCCACCGCACGCCAAGCCGGCCGCCAGAAGACAGTGGTGGCGTTGGTGCTGGGCGGGGAGCGTTTGGTGTCGTGGATGAAGTGGCCAGTGACAGCGATGTCTCCACGCCCTCATCTCTGCACGAGGAACCGCACAGCCACCAGCAGCACCATCGTGGTGGGGGTGGCCTGGACTCGGACAGCATATCGCCACCCTCGTCACCCATGCAGCCGGGAGCAGCGCCGCTGTTTGAGGACGAGGGTTCGCAGCAGCAGCGGCGGCCGCCGTCCACGCGACAGAAGGAAGCGAAGACGACGACGACAACAACAACACCAGCAGCAAAACGAGGTGCGCATGTGGCATCAAGCAGGGATGAAAGGAATGCGAAGCACAAAACAGCAGCGGCAGCTCGTTATGGAACCGAGGGTGCTGATGACGGTACTGATGACGGTGCTGATGTCTCTATTGATGAAGCCGCAGACAAGACCACACACGCACGCATCGCAACACTCGGTGCGGTTGTTGTGGGAAGATGCTGACACCCATGTGATGTGTGTGTGTGTGCGTGTGTGCGTGCGTGCGTGTATTTGTTTGCTTGGTTGTTTGCCTTGGGCACTTGAACATGTGTACACAAACACACACACACACACACACATACACACGCACACATACACACGCACACATACACCCACACACGCAAGCAGCAACAGCACACAATGCTGCAATGTCACGATACCACAACTCGGTTCTCATAATTGCGCACCACATTGCATCCTCCCCCCCTCCCTCTCATGTGGCAGATGAGTTGTCCTCCATTTCCACGGAGTCGAGTAACAGCGACAACGCGCACAGGGCCGGCGATGATGACGACGACGGTGACTATGGTGACGCGGGTCAACCTGGTGCAGAAGAGAAGGAGGATGGGGATGAGGACGGTGCATACTCGGATGATTTTGAATCTGGTGGCAGCGTGTCTGGCCGTGGGCATTGGAAGCACAGCGCAGGTGCGGCGAAGGGCCACGGTGCAAGCAGTGGCGATGATGTTGGGGAGGAGAGCATTGTGTCGGAGATTGCATCAAGTGTCATCTCTGAAGAGGACGCAAGTGCGCATGCAAGCGGCGGCCACCACAGCCACTCTGCACGTGATGCATCCGCCCTTCGCAACCTCGCCCTCCCTTCACCACAGCAGCAACAGCAGCAGCAACATGTGCGGGAACGCGTGCTGTCTGCTGGCGATCTACTTGACGATGTGTCGTCCGCACCGCTATCGGAGAGCGTTGCATCTGCACCGAGTGGCAGTGACCATGAGGAGACAGACCATGAGGGAATGAAGAAAAGAGGGAACAGGGAAGAACAGCAAGACGACGAGGAGGAGGAGGAAACAGGAGCCTATTCGTTGGATTTTGAATCTGAAGTGCACACGCACACAGAGACCAGCGACAGCGAACGCGGTCGAAGAGGCAGCAGCGCTGGGCGGCGCGTGCCAAGCGACGGCACGGACGATACGATCTGCGGCGAGGATGAGGAAGAGGAAGCGCGGGAGGAAGCAGACAACAGGACAGGTGAGCAAAGAAGAGGTGGTGGTGTGCTGGGCGTTTCAAAGACGCACGACCAGCACAGCGTCGGCTCGCCACGAAAAGCGACGTCCAAGGAGAAGCATGCGAGATACCACAAAGAGGGCAGCTCGGGGAAGAAAGAGAGGCATGGCCGCCGCCACAGCAGCAGAGGTGATGGTGAGTCGTCGCGGGGTGTGCACTCCTCAGGCACCGAGACGTGGTCCCATACCAGCCGCAGCCGCAGTGACAGCTATGACAGCAGTGGTGACAGTGGCAGCAGTGGTGATGGTGAAAGGAGGAGGAGGAGGAGAAGGAGAAGGCGGGAGCATGATGAAGGGAGAGACTGGCGTGGCCACCGCCATTATCGCGATGGACGCGATCGATCACAACGACATCATCATCATCGGCGGCGGAGTGAAATTGAAAGGCTGGAGGAGGAGCTTCAAGCAGAACGTGCCGCGAACCTGCGATCAGCCGCAAACACGCTTCGTGCCTCCGTCCTCATACCCAAACGCCTGGAAGAAAGTGCGTCACGTGTGTGTGATTGAGAGAGAGAGAGAGAGAGAGTGTGTGTGTGTGTGTGATTGTGTGATTGAGTGTGTGTGTGTGCACCGTTGTTCGCGTGCGGAATTCCTCGCTGAACCTTGATTTTGATTCATTTACTGTGTTGATGTTGTTGCGGGTTTTCGCTGGTCAGGCCTTCGCGTTCCTCAGGCGCTGACGGAATCACTTGCGGTTCAGCTCTTGCGGCAACAGCTCGACGTCTTCAAGAACGTGCGTGATTGCATGGTGTGGCAGTGCAATGTGACATTGCATACAACGCACACGTGTGTGTGTGTGCTTGGTTTTCCATCATCGCTTTGAAGCGTTTGGTCTTCCTTGGTCGTGGTTGTGTACACGTGGTCACTTTCTGACGTGCCTTGTGTTCGCTTGTTTGCTTGCTTGTGCGAATAGGTGACTGCGACGTTTCGGCGGTTTGCGTCCTTGGATGGAGACATTAACATTGCAGCTGCAGCTGGACAGACGAAAGATGCGTGGGCGCAGACAACGCCACCCACGCCACAAACCACCACAGTCCCCACGGGCCCTGCCCCTACTACCTCCACTTCCCAGCCTGGCCCTGTTACTCTCCAATCCACGCTTGCATTCATTCAACAGTAAGTTTGTTTGCTCGTTTGTTTGCTTGCTCGTTCGTTTGTGTTGTGTTGTGTTATTTGTGTTGTGTTGTGTTGTGTTGTGTTATTTGTGTTATTTGTTTGCGTTGTGTTGTGTTGCTGTTTGTTTCTTTGTGAGTGTGTACATGCGTGCGTTTGCTGACAAGTAGGTGCTGTGCTGATCGTCACACCATGCGCGATCTTGTTCGTCATCACATGACGTCAATACTCACACGACGCTGGACACGCAAACAACAACAACAACAACCACAACCAGGAACCGAAAGCCAAAACTGAGCATGGAAGCAGCTTTACGCCAGGTGCAACAAGAAGAGGAGGAGCTCGGCTTCTCCTTCCCATCGTGACCATCATAATGTAATGGTGTTGCTTGTGCGGGTGCTGTGCGGATGCTGCATCCACAACACAAACAGTTCGTCACGTCATGTCATGTCACATGTCACAACCCGCTGAGCGTCGCTAAACGACATGATAAATATTTCATTGACTGATTTCAGTTGTCGTGAATTTGGCGCCAAAAAAATTGGCTTGAGCAGTGCGCATGCGGTGGATAGAAAGTGCGGAAACTGCTGTGCGGCAAAACCACAAACAACAAACTCAAACGGTGCCACTGCAAACGACGACGAGGAAAGACCGCCACCAGCGCTCGCAGCCACCACCACCACCACCAAACCAGCCAGCCGCGGATCAACAGCAGCACAGCACAAGCACCCATGTCGTCCTCATCCACGCCATCGTCCCCGAGACGATCCACATCGTCGACCTCCTCGCGGCGTCGCAGGGGCAATGGACACATCCCTTCCAGCGACAATGGTGTGTGTGTGTGTGTGTATGTGTGTGTATGTGTGTGCGTGTTGGGAGTGGTTTGTGCTGCTTCTCACTGTGTGTGTGTGTATGTTGGAGTTGTTTGTGCTGCTTCTCACTGTGTGTGTGTGTGCTTGCTTGCTTGTGGTTACCGTGTGCTGTGCACTCACATTGCCTCTCGTTGACGTTGTTGACGTTGCTCGGTGGCAGCGTCGAGCCCTTTGCCGTATGGCGGATCCACGTCAAACATGCCATCCTCCGCACCAGAGACGCCGGCGGGACCCGGCAGCTCGCCGCTCGCCTATGCCTCCACGCCCGGATCCGTCTCCTCCTTGCAGTCATCTCGCCTCGCCTCGCCTCGCAGGTAGCTGGCACAGTTGTCGCAGCAATTGCTGCTGTTGTTGAACAGGTCTTCCCCCGCCTTGCTGCATCCTTTTGCTGCAAAGTTTCGCTCACTCTCTTTCTTTGGTGGACCTGTGGTTCATGTCTTCGTGTTGTTTCGTTGCCACGTGATGAAGGGCGCTGGGCTCCGGATACAACATTCGTGAAGTGGCAGACCCTTCAAGCGTTGGCGACCACCCACCTGGCGTGAGTCGCTCATGTGTGTGTGTGTCTGTGTGTGTCTGTGTGTGTCTGTGTGTGTGTGTTTTGTTCTGTGTCTGTGTGTGTGTTTTGTTCTGTGTCTGTGTGTGTGTCTGTGTGTGTGTGTCTGTGTGTGTGTCTGTGTGTATGTGCGTCTGTGTCTGTGTCTGTATGTGTGTGTGTTTATGCAAGGCAGACATTGCTGGCCTGTTGTTCTTGCACCCCCGGGACTCACCAGTAACGAATCACCACGACTTGACACATGCGCGTTGCAGGCACCAACCAGCGAAGGCTCCACCGGTGCACCTCGCAATGTGTAAGCTGCAAATTGCTCAATGCTTTATTGGCACTCTCTGATGTGTTTGTGCACAAACCCGAATCTTCCTTGTCCTTGCCACATCCTCACATCCTTCTTCCCATTGCTCTGAACGCAAACGCGCGCGCACACACACACACACAAACACACACACACACACACACACACACACACACACACACACACGTCGCCATGCTCCAGCATCTGGGGGACAGACGTGAGCATTGCCGACACGTGTCAGCGCTTTGTCCAGTTTCTCCGCGAGTTCCGGGACCCATCTGCCCCCGCCGATGCCCCCGCCAAGTACCTCCGCCTCATCGACCAGGTGTTGTGTGTGTGTGTGTGTGTGTGTGTGTGTGTGTGTGTGTGTGTGTGTGTGTGTGCGTGTGTGTGTGTGCCCGATCAACTCCCATATGTTCTGTGCAAGCGTTTCTCTCTCCATTGTTTTATTTAATTGTGTATGTGCGTGTGTTTGCGTTCTCACCCGTCAACCAACGTCTTAACC